AGTTACTTACCTCAGGACTCGACATCTGTACAGTTACACACTAGTTGAATTCCCGTGGTGGGGCGTGAATAAGTGCGAGGAACTGTGAACGTTGATTGGTTACCCCATGCTCCTGAAAACCAGACTCAGCGATCTGAAACCATGCTTCATCAATATCTGGCCAGTATGGTACGAGCTGAATTGTTTCTGCAGTTGAGCGAATACGGGTGACCTTGGGACTAGTATCACTCATGACGAACATTAATCCGATTACAATACAGTACAAAAACAAATACAAAATGGAACGAACTCACCGGGGTTTTCTGCATATTTATCGAAGATGAAGCTCGCGGTTGGGCTCACCAGTTTAGAGGCTGACGGTATTGACTTTCGTGAATTGTACGGAGTATACTAACGCAAGATCTGTGCGTCGGTGGCACATTGGTTAGGACTCTCACCAACCATGCACATGATCCGAGGTTCGATCCCCTGCCGACGCACACATGATATCTATGGTCGGCCTGCAAAATTTGGCCTACCGATATCCATGCTGAAAATTCTATACTTGTACCAAAAGTACAGAGTGGAATCAAGCTGTAATCAAAAATAAAATGAAATAAAATCTCATAACAGTAACTTCTATAGTATTCGTTTCTCGTGTACCAAAGGCAAAGCAAAAGACCAGAGCTGTGTCAATGGAGTTGAAGATTGAACGATCAATTCTTGGTTGTTTGCTTAAAATCAACTTCCCCAATTTTCGCGGAAGCATCAATACGACAGTCATCGTCTCATCGGTCGCTGTTCAGAAAGAAGATTGAAACATCGTCAGAAGTAACACAGAGATTTATTATTGTAATATTTGTTTTCAGACCTTAGTTGCTTAGTTCGTTTATTCCTTTTATATGTTGGTGTAACAATACAAAATATCAAACGGCAAATCGGTGTTTTGGTTTTCGCGTCCGTTATAACTAAGCGTTTCTCAGAGATCTTCTAAGAACAGCGTGGGCCCGAGCGTAGCGAGAGCTGGGCATTAACGGTTTATGAGACTTTGGTTGACAGTTTCTGACGATGGAAACAGATTCTGGCGGATTCAGACAGTCGGTGACAGTTTGGATAGTCACCATTCATCTTTCCTGGTGCCGGTCAAGTCCTCTTTGAACAAGCAATATCTGGAACTTTTTTGGAATTTGGTCAAGTTCAACAATGCCTGGGTCAAAGAAGGGACAGAGTGTCTTGGATGCAAACAGGAAAGTAAGTCATGGTGACTTGTCTGTTAATTGTAACGATGTGTCTGATGTTAAACATGATATGGTTGATGTTACCGTTTCGCCGTTTAGGGATAATAGGAACATCAAACTCCCTAAATTAGAACCACGGTGTTTTGATGGAAACCCGGCTGATTATTTACAATTTGTAAAGGAGTTTGAGATCATGCTGAATAGTTTTCTATTAAATGATGAATTGAAATTGATGTATTTGATGAGATATTGCACTGGAATTGCTGCAAGAGCTATACAGTGTTGTAAGTTTATGAAGCCAAAGGAGGGCTACGATGAGGCTATGAGCATATTACGCCAAAGGTTTGGAAGACCTTCGATGATTGTAGGGAAATTATTCGAGGCTGTTAAGGGTAATGGTGGTCAGTTAAAGGATGACTCCCAGGCACTCACTGAGTTTTTAGATAATTTGCTAATTTACAAGAATGGAATGATTTCGATGAATCGAATGAGTGACCTCAACTCGAGTTTTATACTAGAAGTAATAGCAAGACGTCTACCTACCCGACTGCAAAGGAAGTGGGTGAAGATAAGCTCCCGTATGGAGGATGAGGGTATCGAGCCAAAGTTTGATGATATCCTGAAACTGGTAAATACTAGTGTCAATCAGTCTATGGGCAAGTTCGCCAGTCTGTTAGATCTCACCCATAGAATAGAGCAGTCTGAGGGGAAAACGTACTCATTGATGACGAATAAGCCTCAGAGAGGTGGATATCGAGAAGGCTCCATGATGTCTAGTAATGCATATAGATCTAGTGAGTGTAACAGGTTTCGTAGTACATCCTCAACAGATAAGTTACAAGATGCAAGACAAACACGGTTGTGTTGTACTCGTTTGCAAGAGGTGCATACAAAGGTGAGCTGTGAACCGGTGAGCAAGTTCAGTGATAAGCTAAATGTAAACTCCAGGCCTGACTCCGAATTGTGTGACGATAACGTTGTTGTGAAGAAGTCTGTAGTTGCAACTGGTAAGCCGTTGTTGAATAGAGTGTCACAGAATAGAGTTACTGCTTCAGAGTGGAGTTCTGACTCCAAAAGTTTACAAAGTATATCTAGTCAGAGTGAAGATGTAAAACCTTTAATGATTTGTGAGGAGGAACCAAAATTGTCTACTTCTGTTATTAAAGAGTTTGAAAATGATGAACTTGACGGTAAATTGTATATATGTGATAATGATCATGATAGTGCAGATTTGTCTTTGGTTGATCATGATGAAATGGAGGGAATGTCTACTACTGCTAAGTTGAATAAGGGTTCTGTACAGCTCAAAGGTGAAGTAGAAATAAATGCAGTTGCAGCAGGCATGTATACTTGTCAGACCGTGAGTGTAATTGATCAGCATGTAGCCCACCTATCATCAGATGATAGTGCTAAAGCGGAGCTGATAGTAAAAGACAGCAGTGGTGGTAATCTTGCAGTTGGACAACTATCTGAGAGCCGAACAAGAACAGCTTCTGATCCACCACTAAGTTCATCACCTTGTGTCACTCAGTCATCGTTGGTGTTTTCATCCACAATGAAACAGATGCCCATCAACTCAAGTATCTTGTGCAATGACTATGGTAGTATCAGTTCGTTTGAAAGGACGTATATCAATGGTCAGTTTAGTGTGGATAAGCCAAGGGTAAAGGAGAGAGTTATTGTTAAATTGACTTGCACGAATAAAGGCATTTCTAGTTTCAAGTTACTAATTGAATGTTATTATCTTTGGTGTAAATTACTCTGTTTCTACACTTGGTTGATGAGATATGCCGTGTGTTTGTTGGTCATCTATATTCTACGCTACAATGACATGGGCGTGTTGCCGTTCAGATTTGAGGATATAGACGATAGAAGAAAGTTAGCAAATGAACTCTGCGACGATTTTCCAACCTAGGGCGTCAACCTGAGAAGGGTTGTAGGCGTACTGCTGTAAGTCCTACAATTCTTCAAAGGGTAGCGCATCAATGAGCAGTGCAATGTGCTTGGTGTGTGATTTTGTACATATGTTCATATTGTATATACTGAATTGATATCATTTGTCATCTAGCTGTTGGTAATTCTGTTTGTGTCCGGATGACTTCCACTTGGATCATCAACCTGAGAAGGAATGTAGGCGTACTGCTGTAAGTCCTACGGTTCTTCAAGGGTAGTTTGTCGTGTCAGAATCCACAACATTTGATGTGTTGATTGTACATATGTTTGTGTTAAATAGTTGTGTGAGTTCCAATTGATGTAATTGTTGGTTAATCTTGTTTGTGTCTGGACATTCCACAACTTACAATCGTCAACCTGTGAAGGGTTGTAGGCGTACTGGTGTAAGTCCTGCAATTCTTCAAAGGAATTCCACCAAGACATGATCGGCGAGGTGGTTTGTACTATTTCTATATACGTGTGGTGTGTCATATCAATTGGTGTATTTTGGATTCATTGTGTTTACTTGTTGTTTTCGTGTCTTGTTGTTATTGCGTAATTTTGTTAAAATTTTCGTCGTGATTATTTCTGAAGTTGTTTCGAGTCTTCTACATCCATGAATGAATTGATTTATGTTAAGGACAGCAGATGGGTCGTATACGCCGGGGAGACTAGGCTATTGCTGAGAATGAAATGCACACGCAGATAATTGTTAGCTGCGGTCCGACACGCCGGGGAGAAAGAGTGTGAACGACTGAGGCTCGCATGCGTCACCGCTACTAGAACTGAGGCAGAATGAGTGACAAGCGATTTCAGTGATAATTGATAGTGAATAGAAAAGAGGATGCTTGAAGAGTATCATGAGGTGCTGCTATGGTCACGTTGCATTCTGCAAGAGTCATTCTAGCAAGTGGCGATTGTGTTGCAAGATGTCTGGAGGCGCAGGTCGTCAGCGATGTGTGAGATTGTGCTGTGGGTATGCTTGTGGTGTGTTGGCTTTTCTGTTTGTTTTCCATTTCAGCTCTGTCCGTGTGACCCAGGTTCTCGCAATGGCATCCAAGTCAACGTGCATTGGTCGTGAAGGAAAAAAGGGTTGGATCCGTTTTTTGACGGGGAGTGTCAATGGAGTTGAAGATTGAACGATCAATTCTTGGTTGTTTGCTTAAAATCAACTTCCCCAATTTTCGCGGAAGCATCAATACGACAGTCATCGTCTCATCGGTCGCTGTTCAGAAAGAAGATTGAAACATCGTCAGAAGTAACACAGAGATTTATTATTGTAATATTTGTTTTCAGACCTTAGTTGCTTAGTTCGTTTATTCCTTTTATATGTTGGTGTAACAATACAAAATATCAAACGGCAAATCGGTGTTTTGGTTTTCGCGTCCGTTATAACTAAGCGTTTCTCAGAGATCTTCTAAGAACAGCGTGGGCCCGAGCGTAGCGAGAGCTGGGCATTAACGGTTTATGAGACTTTGATGACAAGCTGATCTTCCAAACTACGAGATATATTTCGGAACCAAATCGTGGACTGAAGCGGAAGCTAAGCTGGTTGGTGATCGTGCACGAAAGTGACACGACGGAGTACCAAATGGCGAGGATGCTTGACCGGAAGCCTTCAGCTAAACAAGTCGACTTAAACACTAAGGGTCAGCATCCAATGTTCACTGATGATTCCTACGGTCAATAACTTTGGGGAATTATTTACCGCTACAATATGCTCCAAGGCACAATTTATAGTCCACTTTAACTTGAACTTATTTCTGTTTCTGTGGAATACTAAGGAGTTTATCATAAACTACTTATGCATATGAGGCTTTTCCAACTATGGATATTTTACCGCTTATCGTAGCCAAATATAACATCTCAAAAATAACATTGCGCAATTTCATCTGAATTTCAGATTAATTATTTGTCTCTGTCTCAACCTTCCATATTAATTGAAGCGGTCATATATCTGTGAATTAGAGAATCAACAGCGTTTTGGAAGTCGATGCCATAAAAGTAGTTGTATAGGAACTAAGTTGCATACAATATTTTTTGTTAAAACTTATTAAGGTTGTTACTTTATTTGACCTTTTCTGGGAGACACTTCAAATTTTTCTAATGGTGAAACGTGTTGTCGTTCTTGGTTGTGGCGCCTGGGGTACTGCCACCGTTAAACTTGTTGCTGACAACGTTAAGTCTTCAAAAGAATTTCATGAAGAAGTAAACGTTTTGGTTTCTAGTTACGTAGTAATTATTTCGTAGGTTTATTGGTACGTAAGAGATGAAGATTGCAACGGTCGTAGCCTAACCACTTGGATTAATCAAGAACATATAAATCCCAAGTACTTGCCAACACTTGATATTCCTTCGAATGTTTCCGCCTCCTCTAATATTCAGAAAGTGGTCGAAGAAGCTGACATTATATTAGTGTCTTATCCATCATGCCACATTCTATGGTTGGTAGAAAATGTGAAGAAATTTATCAAAGACGGTGCATATTTTGTCTCTTTTTGTAAGGTAAGTTTGAAAAATACAGATGTTTGCAAGATAAGGTACAAAACATGAGCTTAATCAGTAAAGAACTCTTCATAAATTGATGTACTACCTCTAGATTAGTAGAGAAGATATGTAGTCTATGTGACATCTCATATAAGGAGTTCTATGTATTTTGTTGCGGACCAAACGGTCAAGGTCGTTTATACTCATAGGAAAGTAACAAAAGAATTAGAAACCTTTGATTATATACATATATATGTCTATGTAAATAAAAATATAAATATACATGTAGACAGGAATTCAGTCCACACAATTTATATATATATATAATACAGTTATTTTTTGAGTTATAATTGTCTCAAGATGCACAAATAAAGACGTAGAGAATTGAAGTAATGAAGTATTCCTTTTGATCTGCAGTTGCTCACTCCACATAAGGGTATGCCAACAGCCCGAGGGGTACTTGTAGAAAGAAAAGGAGATTGAAGCGAAGGATCCAAAACGTGGATATACTGATCAGGTACGGGCCAGAGATGATTGATAATAGTGGGAAGCAAGAAACTGGAGAAGGGAAGTTGTTTCGTCCGGAGTGCGTGGTGAACAAGATGGTGTGCTTATTCAATATTTCAATTAACACCTATGATGTGCAGTGAATTCATTATTTTTACTATTTTACAACGAACGTAGAATTTGATATTTTTTGGCCTCCACAACTTTAGTAGCTGACTGATCCATAATTTCTTTTCCGTATGCTTGCATGATGTGAATTTACACAATAACAACAATACACCGATAAGATATCATTTTAAATAAATGTATTATTTTTACAGAAATGCCACGACAACGACTTCGAAGACTACCAAAGTATCATTGTTTCTTTATAAAGGTCCTTGAACAATACTCACTTGATTTCGTCTGGGATTCTTCAAAACATATTTTATAATGGCCTTAATCACCTTGTAGGTGACAAATATTGAGATATCTTCCAGAGTCTGGCAGTATATATTGATAGACCCTGAGATTCATAGCCTTTCATAGCATTATCTCAAAATAGTTCTAGCCGAATTCCCAGCTACTTCCATTTTTGGATATGCTTCTCTTATGCTGCTCACTAAAGTATTTGGTACAGGCCGAATAGTTTTAGCAACCATAGATTGTTAGATTTGTTTACTTTCTTCAATTTAATGCGTGGAGTTGGATGATTGAGTGACCTTTTTAAGTGTTGCTTTGCTGTAACGGCATGCGAAGTTCAATTATTCTTGTGTTAAGGAATTTTAACTGATTCCTTATTTAAGAACAATTTTGAAAGGCATTACTTTTTAAAAAGTGATTTCATAGTCATTATGACTTTTCATTCCCTTATGTCAGGTGTTTCTAAGACTACATATCGTGTAATAATCTGAACTGCACGTATAAAGACACTAATTGAATTGAATAACTCTGATGCCATCGTATTGGTGACTGCCATATTTTGAAGATAAGTCACATCACGTTTCATGAATGTGCTGCTGTACCAGTCTACTTATCTAATTATCGAACTTGGGCAATTTCTGAAACACTGTCTGTCTCGTCGCGGTGTCATAATTGCTGCTTGCTATTTCTATTAACGTTTTATTGGGAGCTGGTGTTAGTAGAAAACCATAAGAAAATATACAGTACTGAAACCGTATTCTATGTTCTACTGTCAAAACTTATGTCACTTCTCAAATTAGACCAAAGACCTCCATCTTAGACAATGAATGTATTCTCATTTTTGATCTGACGATGTTGAGACCGAACGAAAATATTAGAGTCTGTGAGCTTCTGAATGCATGTAATATACCTTTTTGTTTTTATATCCGTTCAGTTATGTTTCTTTGTGTGTCTGTTCGTAGAAGTCGTAAAGTTATTTGCATACTTTGTATTCTCACGGTTACATAGAAATGATGCTTTGCAAAATGCTCCCACTTTCTCTTAAACGTAGGGTCTCATTCTGTGTCCCGAGGAAAACAGAATTAAACTGGTAAGCGATGTTATTCGAGAGCAAACTGGTAAAAGCTGCGTGGTCGTTATCGGGGCTACAACAGCTGTCGAAGTGGCCAAACAACATTTCACCGAGGCAACTATCGGCTCCAAGAATCTCACATATGCACATGAAGTAAAAAGGCTTCTACAGGTAATCTTCACTATATTTTCTATCTTAAAAGATATGAGTGGAAATACAGTGCCAAGTTTCCTACACAACACAGTGGTATAAAAAGATCAGCGACTCTCATGGTAAATTTTTTAAGGAAACATATAAGCTAAAAATGTTATTTTCACTTTGATCCTCCTAGACTTCGATTTGGTATACCCAAATTTACAAATAATTATTCAATGTAAACCAGTAGCCGTGAATTTTCAGTAGGATGTTAAGATATGGGTTACAATATTATTATTTGTTCTTTACGTTCCAAGTGGAAGATAGGGCTTCAGAAACACATCACCACTGTACTATATTGTTTTCCGTCATTTTTAACCGGGCCGTCGACTCCCTACAAGCCTTCATTTCTTCTTCACACGATCTCCTCCATATCACTGTAGGACACTCAACTGGTCAGTTCTCATTCGGATTCCATTCAACAGCCTGGGGTGTGATACCACTTGAATGTCCGTCTCGTTCCATACTACATATTTGCTCAGTAATAGGTTGGTTCACTGAGCTGTCAGAGCTTCTTGTCGCTTATGCTTTCCTGCTAGTCATTTGATCTTCAGTACCTGTTGTGGGCAGCTGGTGATAAAAATGTGCACCCGGATGTTGGAAAGGCTTTTTGTGACTGGCGCACCAAGTCTCTGAATCATATAGAAGCACTGATTTAGGATTAGTGTTAGGACTCTTGCCGACCATGCACATGGTCCGAGGTTCGTTCCCCTACTGACGCACACCAGATATCTATGGTGTCTATCCTATCTTTGTGGAATTTGACATGTTCATCCATACCTCCTGTAGTTGAAACGACGCTCCCAGATCAGGGAAGTGTAGGGGACGACTTATTTTGAATTCTTCCCATTGACACTGATTGATGCTTGTTGTTTTTGATTGGGTATCTTTTCTTCTCTATGTCTTTAGTAACCGACCCTTCTATCGAAGTAGTTGTCCGAATTACCATCTGAGGCAGTTGTGCAGCTTCAAGCTTTATTTCGAAAACACACTGCTGAAAAAAGTGAAGCGGAGAAACTTAGTCAATCACACAGGAGAGCATTCATTAATCATTCAACATCGTTCAATGGGGAAAGATGACCTTGCAAATAATAAAGATATAATTTCTACTTACTCTTCTGAATTCCATACTCACTCACTTCCTCTGAATGACCGTGGCGTTCTATGTTGTAGAGATTCTACATGTTCACACGAAACTCTGTGTTTTCTGCCTTTGCTGATGATTTGTCAGTTTTCACCCGAAGATCTTCGAGTCTGTGCGACATGAAGCATAGGTCACACACTTAATTCGAAGCTTCTAAAGTCTTGTTTCGGCTCAATGCATTTTCGTCCTCCCCAAAGTCCGTTGGATGGTCCAGTACACCACAATCAGGAACATCAGCAGGGACACTGAACAGCCTTGTCTTTTTTCTTGTTTACACTTCGCTCTACTGTGAATCGCTTGTTATGTGGATCATCATATGACTGTTTAACGAGGTTATGTACTGAGCTTGTACCATTCACTTCCACTTCACACAAAAGTGAACCAAACATTGGACTTGTGTAGTTTGCTGATTTTTTATTCTGAATATGCCTAATCTTCCATTTTTACAAGGTGAGTAATTCGTATACTATTTGAAGACTAGTTAAAATTGGAATCTTGAGATACTGGAATTCATACAGGATGAAGAATTGTAGTTCAGCTGAGCTGGACAGTTAATCTGAGAAGGTTTCATCGCCCCACTAGGCAACATCTTCAATGCCTACTTCAATTTGAAGTGAGCTTTTAGATTTCTCCACGAGTTTATCAGTCATCTTTCCTGGTGACCTTGCATGTGGTAGGTTGTTTTTGTTTGTTTTCACACTCTCTAGGCTGCTTGTAACTGATTGGAACTGATTGTTTTCTTGACTTGATCTTTGACCCTTTGTGTGTGAGGTTTCCTTCTTATTGGTTGGTAATTTTTGCCTATCTCGATGTGTCTATTGATTGATAATTCACTGGAATACCAGGAAGTCTTCTAAAAATTCTCTAGCATTTTTGGCGTTTCCTCTGTCTAATATTTGAACGTTGTCCCAGTCGAATTGATGTCCGTGGTTGCTTGTATGTAGTGATACGAGGGAGTGTATGTGATGTCTTCTGACGGCTATCTTGTGTTCACGGATACGAAGACGAAGGGGACGTCCACTTTGGCGAATGTAGTGTTTTTCGCAGTTGTTACAGTTTACTTTGTAGATGGTGTTGGTTTTATCTTCTTTCGCTGTTGAGTCTTTTGGTTGTCAGAGAATTGAGTGAAGTGACTTTGTTGGTTTGTGTGTGACGTCAATTCCTAAAGGTTTGAAAGGTCTTGTAGTGATTTCTGAGATGTGTTTTATACATGGTAGGGCGATTTTCTGGGTGCTTTCCTTGGGGGTCTTTGATTTCGTAGGTTGGCTTGTAGGTATATGTCTTTTGATGAAGTTCCGTTGATATCCATTCTTTTGGAAGACGTCCATGGACGTCTGAAAATGTTTCCTAGTGGGGCGATGGAAGCTTCCCAAATTAACTATCCAGCTCAGAGAACACAACCACATGAAAACACTGGAATTCATTCAGTTTAAGTCTGTTCAGCAGTATGGCAAAAAAGGTAGATGGTTTGGTGAGCGGTGTGTTGATTTTCGAAAATACACCTCTGATTAGGCATGCGTTTACAAGTGAAGTAAAGGCCAGTCTAGAAGTGTGACGAAGATCCAACTACATGCCTCAAAAAATAGTTCGAGAGTAGCATTTTGAAGAAGACAATTCTGAAGTTGATTTTATTAACGCTGAAGCTGAATAAATATCAAATGACGGAATGTAATGTATTTGTATTTCATTATGTCTGCTCAAGAATATGTGTGCGTCAGTGGCACAGTGGTTAGGACTGTCGCCGACCATGTACATGGTCCAAGGTTCGATCCCCTGCCGACGCACACCTGATATCAGTGGTCGGCCTGCAAAATTTCGGCTACCGATATCGCATGTTGAAAATTCCATACTTCTACCGAAAATACAGTGTGACGTCAAGCTGTAATCAAAATAAAACAAAAAGATAAATAAAATGTCACAAAATTCCGGGTACATCAAAAAATAAACTCCATATTTTCAAAAGGCCTAACAAATGGTACTTTCTTTATGTCAATATTTTGCCTATCAATACAGTCCGATTACCTCAAGCTTGTTATAACTCAAGATGATGTTGGCGTGGAATTGTGTGGAGCGTTGAAGAACGTCGTGGCGATAGCTGCGGGAATATGTCACGGTTTAGATTTAGGAGACAATACTAAGGCTGCCGTATTGCGTATTGGATTTTGGGAAGTATCTGAACTAATGAAAGAGTTGTTCCCTGACAGAGGTATGTTCGCATTTACTTCTATTTTTCACACCTCATTTTATTAATTGATTTTGTCACAACTTAAATGCATGTCGATTCTCTACTTTTAATTCGATTACTAATTTATCAAGTTATGTAATTGGTGATGATTGAAGATGAGATGAACATCTGGCGTAGAGGCAGGATTCGAACCGGTGGCCACCAAATCACTAGTGTAAAACACTACTAGCTAAGCTACAATACTCAGGTGTCATTCAGTTTATTATTTCACTGCAGTCACCACATGCAATACACAGTTTTATGTGAATGAGTGACGTCTGTTTGTTGTCACACTAGCTACCCAATCAGGTCTTCTCTTGTCAACCCGTATCCTAATGAATTGAAAAAATCTATTTTGAATCAACTAGTATACAAAGTGACTTTCAGTTCACTTGAAAACTAGATTTATTTTTAAGTTTTAGAATTAGAACACTATTTAATGCCAGTTAATTTAAAAATCCAACTTGAAATTTCAGCTAATGAACGATATTTTATCTCTCTGACCTTGTTCTACTTAAGGGAAAGTTGAGTTTACCTAATTCCTTGCACAAAAAATAAAACATGAATTGTCACGATTAACGTCCCACTCAAGTTCAAGTGCAACGTGAAACATTTGTTTTCGGAGGGTAAATATGCTAGATAAGTGAGATTTTAGCGCTAAATACGATACTTCTAGAATCTCTTCACTGAATTTTAGAAGACGGATTGTCTTGTTTCCTTTTATATATATATATATATATAAACTATTTGTAAGAATTTACTATACGAATAACCTTCTGCGTGAAAACACCGGGTCTATTTCCAGTTATTCGAACAGTGAATCATATTACTTTAATTCATGTTTTATTTCAGAATGTAAACTTTATGACTGATTTCACTTGAATGGAAAGCATTTTCAGTCAATGGTCAGGTAACCGCATGTTATAGGCATCTTTAACAAAAAAAATGAACTCTGAAGCATATATCTTAAAGGTGCTGCTGAAATATCACGACCCGAAGCTTCTGAATAGATAACATAAAATGAATATAAAAGTGAACGAACGAAAATTCTTCCGATAGGTTTTAATCTATGATTATTGCCTCGCCTCTGATGGAGAAACAAGTACTGTTTTGGAGCCTTATGTTGAATGCATTTAGAGAAATAAAGATAAATATCAAGTCGGTAAATAAACTTATGAAATTAAATGTTTCTGGATCCATTTCCGCTTTGTACAGCTAAATGTGTAACTCGCAATCGTTTATTCTGCAAAATTCAGGATGTAATTTGCTCATTGCAGACTAAAACTGTTTCTTAAGCAGCTACTTTATATATATAAACATGCTTAAACAGCCTTCAGATATAAATATAAGCTGCGACCTACCAGTTTCTTGAGTAATGGTTGGAGGAGTTTAACTAGCCACTTAGCCACTCCATGTTAGCTGGGATTGGACATGTCTAGGACTGGAAGTCTTGGTTTATGTACTTTTGGCAAACCATACGATCGTGAACTATTGCTTCCAGTAGGTGTAACAGAGTTATAAGCTGCCTCTGAGATAACCCCACTTTTCTTAAGCTCCTTAAGCGTGTTTGTTAGATTCTTTCCAGCCTTTCCATCTAAATCTGTTGAATTGTTGAGCTTCTTATTATCATTATAGTCATCGTCATTACTGACATTCAAAACATTTAACACTTTTTCTTATTCTTTGATCCAGGAACTCACTGTAATTCGTTAAAAGTTTCTTATATAAATCTATGTAAATTAGAGTAAAGCCTGAAGAAGATCTAATTGAAAACAATATTGTTCGCTTAAATATCTTGTTGTAAATTGATAATAAGCAGACAAAAGTTCTTTTTTCTTGATGTAGTTCTGTTCTCTGAGTAGGATGGCTTGAATGCGAAGCTTTCATTGTTTTTCTAGACAACATCCAAAGCGTTTACTTGCTCACTTATTTCTCTGAACTCGATAGCCAAATGGCAAACATTCCATCAACTCAAGGGTTCAGTTTACCAAAACCTAAGTGCACTCTTTTCATATTTAGACTGGAAATTTGTTTCTGTTAGGCACAATGAATGTAAAATTAGATATAAAGTAAATTACCATTATAGTATTAATTAAAAGCACAATTCCGTACATCATTGATTCCCTCTATCGAAGGCTTACGTTATGATCTACGGCCGCCGATTTACCTTGCTGACAGATCATAAACCGCTACTTTCCATTTTCGGATCTAAATCAGGTATCCCGGTACATGCAGCTAACCGACTACAACGCTGGGCAATAATATTACTTGGATACGATTTCGATATTAAATACAACCGAACTAACGAATTTGGTCAAGCCGACGCTCTATCTCGGCTAATTAGCGACTATCCTGCATCAAGTGAAGATATGGTAATTGCATCGATCGCCACCAAAGACTATGCAGTTAACCTCATCGACAATGCTATTCGATCTCTACCAGTAACATTTTCAGAAATCCAGCGAACTACAAGCACCGATGCCACCTTACGACGTGCTACACAGTATGTATCCAGTAATTGGCCAAAGATTAAATATAGTGGAGACCTAAAACACCTGTTTGCCCGTCGTGATTCCTTATGTGTTGTAAAAGATTGCTTGATGTTTGGAGAACGCGTAGTGATACCTGAAGCATTACGAAATAAACTCCTGAAACAGTTTCACATGGGACATCCTGGTATTCAGCGGATTAAGAGTATTGCTTGCAGCTACGCATACTGGCCTAATATGGATAAGCATATTATCGACTTTGTTCAACGATGTTCAAAATGTCAACAATCAGCAAAGCTACCCCACCAGCTACCTCCCGTACTATGGCCTCCAGCATCCCATCCTTGGTCCAGAATTCATATTGACTTTGCTGGCCCTAAAAATGGTGCATACTATTTAGTGGTGGTAGACGCTTTTTCTAAGTGGCCAGAAGTTATACCAATGGTTTCGCCGACAACGTCCTAGACTCTCAAAGCTCTCACTGACATATTCTCCCACCATGGTCTCCCAGAAACCATAGTTACAGACAATGGTTCGCAGTTTACCTCTCATCAGTTTCAGCAGTTCTGTCATCAAAATGCTATCGAGCATATGTTCACACCGCCGTATCATCCTCAGTCAAACGGCCAAGCGGAACGTTTTGTCGACACTTTGAAGAGAGCCTTACTCAAAGCAGAGGGAGAGGGGACACCATTTGACATCATCCAAAAATTCTTGATGGTGTACCGTACAACGCCGAATGAGTCAACACAGAACAAGAAATCGCCGGCAGAAATTCTCTACGGACGCAAACTTAGAACGATTCATAACTCAATGTTACCACCGACACTCAAACATGCCGACGCATCATTTCGGAATGAAAAAAAATTTGATGTTGGTTACCCTATCTATGTCCGCGACCATCGAGGAGGACATAAACCTTGGAATAAAGGTTCCATCTCAGCACGACGTGGTCGAGTTATGTACGACGTGAAAGTTGGAAATGAATTATGGACCCGTCACTACAATCGGTTGCGGCCAAGAAACTCAAATATCCCTACCAGTACACAGTCATCCCTACCTCTGGATATTCTCTTGGATACTTTTAACTTACCTACGACTGACAAAACAGAAAAGCAGAAGTGCGCAGCTCAGACAACGTCAGACAAAGCAGAAGCCGCAAACTCAACAAGCAGACGAAGCAACAGAAGTCGACAACAAACTGAACGGTTTCAGATAAACCCCAAGAAAGCACGCTATTAATCATCACTCTTCTCAAAAGGGGAGGTGATATGTATCCACATATATATATTTATGTGTGTGTGTATGTTGGTCTCTCTTTCTGTTTGCTCGCTTAGTCTGTGACCACTTCACTTGTATGAACTTGTCTCCTTTAATAATGTGTATTCTCCTTATATTATATTATATATAATATGATTGTTTGTTGACAGTCCGTTTCTTGGTGACATATATCCATACATGGTGGGTTGTTGACATGTCTGCTATATTTCGCTATGTATATGTGGATCGATACTTCATTATAATTAGCCATTCATGTTAAGACTGTCTAATGATTGTTCACACCCTTGTCATATATATTTCTCTCACACAATTTGTGTGAACTACTTTACTTACTTATCACTTTGGTGTGAGACCATTTATTCTCGTCTCCTTGTGTTTGGACAATAGAAGTATCATCGCAAACCTAGTGGTCTTCTGATTTCCGCCTTCTTGCGTCAGGACTATTAGTTCCTCGACCAGTCCATAACAATAATTTAGCGACGAGTACATAACAGAGATGACACTATATTTTAATCTAGATAATTTGAAACACTGTCTTTCCGACGCATAATGCATGTAGTACATCGTGTTGAGGTGGTAGGAACCAACTATGAAACGTACTGACTTTGGTTTATGGATACAGACTGTCATAATAGCATGTACCACATACTTTCATTATAAACTTTAAAGTGATCATGAAAGATGACTGGCAGACTCAAATATTTAAATGATTATTACGATGACCGCAGGATAATATTTGCAAAGCAGTGATTAAATATTCAGCTGGCTTTTCCTTATAGTCCAAAAGTCAGATGCAAAGCTGTTTAGTAAATCTCTTATAGAGTGAAAGATATATTGATTGCTCAAGTGTTTTGCACGTGAATGGTTGGTTTACCAGAGGATTTGAGGCTCAGTGAAGCAGAAGACAGCAATGGTACATTAGCCTGTGACTGCTTGTCTACGATAGATGGTTGGTGATGCTAAGAGCCAGTGGCCGACGACTAATGAGGATATCACAAAGAAATTTCATTTAGGCTATTCTGTGTCCCACACATCTCTATCCACTGATGGATTATCACATTTTCCTGAGATACTTTTCCTTTTTTCTAATTGTGTGAATTTTAAGTGACCCAATTTTCCGTGAAAAGTAGTAAGCTGACCATTCATTACGATAATGTGGTGAAGTCTTCTGCTTTCCTTGCACTGATAATCGAAAAACTAGGAATGCACTAAGATACAATTAATCATCAACTTCTCTCTGTAAGTGTAAATGACAAAATATATCCTTGGCATGAAGAACTCTAGAGTAATTTACAGCTACCTCAGTGACTTTATCATCTGATAATCATCAATTCTAACTGTATTTACTATCTTTTGTAGTACGCACAAACACACTTATGACCAATCTTGATTCATGGTATTTTTGCTGCAGTTGAACTGTGCTCCAACCATCTATTTTCGTTTCTTACTGTACGCCTACTTATGAGTAGTCAAAAATTCAGAAATTATTTACTTTTATGCTCCATGGAGAATTTAAATGGCATGCGATGTCTAAAGTGCACGCAAATATTTTGCATCATAGTTGACTGGATAATGAAAGAAAAAGCCAGGCAGTTTCTAACATGCATAGACGATTGAAGTTATGTGGTGTAAGATTTGACTGATAAGCCAGTCAGTTTATGATGAAGATGGTAGTGGTACAGATACATTTACACCCAATTTCAGTCTAGATCTTGTTAAATAGGTTACTGTAACACATTTATAGTCGACTTATTTATCTGATTTTCGTTAAACAGTTTCATTAATCATTCTTCTTTCAGCCTCTACACTGATATACTCATGTGTACTGTGTCGATTTTGTTCTTGAATAGATATTCAATTTCGCTCAATAAGTAGCTTCTGTCTTTATGTGGTCATGAAGCTTGCCTATCACGATAAACCAACGGGATATATTGGTCGGAATGAATATTAATGCAGCTTATGCTGTGCCATAAAGACGGAGTAATGTGATCAGTACAGTTAGGTAAACAGAGAAAGTCAGTCGATGAGGTTGTGAGGTTCTACCGGTTGATGCATTTTGTGCAAAGTTTCGCGTTGATAAGTCAGTCGGATTTAGCTGTAATGAAGTAGCACAAGACCCTTAAAACCCACTTTGCTATACAAGTGATATACTCAAATCAATCGTTTCTATGGGACATGTTTATGGTTTACAGTATCCTACAGTGTTTTATTTTCATATGGTTATACAGGAAACATACACATACTCTTTGGTAAATGTCGAGTTTAAACAATATTTTCTGACAGACAACCGGTATAATTTTCGTTGGAATTTATGACTACCTTATTGAGGCTGCTTGAATATTTGATATCAACATGTCAATAATTTTGCTATTCGTATTGTGCAATGAGTTTCATTACTAATTGATAAAGTCAATTTGTTAAGAATGAATTGGTAATATTGCAGTGTTACAAAAAGTCAAGTGTGGATAAATGATCTACTCCTTAATTTTATTGTTTTGCTAGGTATGTCATATAGATCAGACGAAATCCCGGATATTGGAGCAGATTTAGATATTTTGAACATCACCTATGGAAGAAGGCTTTCTTTAAGTGATACAGTTAAGTCTTCCTTGTATCCAGTTTCCTCTAAAGATCTGCACAGAATATTTGTAGACGGAGTGGAATATGCAAAACAGGTAATATGATCATTTTATTTAGGTAATATTTTCTAAATTCTTCACAACTCGGTACATGGAAACATTCTTACATCACTGATCATTTATGACTCTAAGATTTATTAATTCATTTTACTCGAGTCTTGCTTATTTCTTTCTGAAAAATTACTCACTAATGGCTTACAGCGGAATTCACATCACGTACTTCATTCTACTAGGGACATAATGGCCGGGTAAAATAACAGCGTACGGTATAGTAATCAAGTTGAATCAAGCTTTTAGCCACCATCAAAAGGTGTTTATCGGTCTATCGTGAACTTTTTAGTCTCTTAAAAATCACATCAGACAATTCTTCCCATTAATAAATTTGAATAAGGCAAGAACGATAAATGTACCAGGATAATCTAAACTCTTTTTATTATTTCGTGGATTCTTAACTGGTTATAACCAGTACACTTCTAAAATTCATTAATGAACGAAATATTCCCATACTGGGTCATAAGAAAAAGGCGTAAACAGCGAAGAAAATGTTTTTTTTCCGACGAATCATTTGCATACGCTGTATTATCGCAATTGTATTATTGTTATTGCAGCTATTATTTTATTATCACTGTTATTCTCATTATCCATTTTTTTTTCGAAATAATGGAGACAATAATAATAATGCATAATAATAGATTTGCTCCACAACTAAACCAACAAGCTCAGAGAACAGTATTAATTGCAAATCCATATTTTTGCTACCATTCTATTACTGTTTATCAATAACATCGCGTTTTAATACAGATTTTATGTTAAAAACACTTTATCGTCCTTCCACTAGCTCCTGCCCATTCTACACGAGTTTATTGATTAGTCATTGCCTCACACTTATCACGTTATGTCAATTTCTGCCTCTTCTCTAACTTCCAATTAGTCATTCCATCTAGGTTACACCTTACATTACGTAATGCATTTTTCGAGGATAAGTTTTGTTCAGTATCTGATTAGTCTAATGAATTTGTTAAATATAATTACGATCCTACGTTTCCAGATCGCAGATGTTAAAAATTTCGTGGGATAATTTGAGCTCTGAGTCAGATTGAATCATTATAAATTATGTAAAATAATCCCAGTGTGTTTAAGAAGAAAAAAATCGAAACAAGGTTTCTCTGAACTTGAATAAAGCGAGAACAACATTGATTTGTGCAGAATAACATGGTACCATCATTTATTTCGTTGGCTTCTCGTCAGCTGCTTACAGCCTAAATAAATTTTCAGGTTTAAGTACAGAAACGTTTTAACGTACTTGCAAATTTTACATGTTGACAGAAAGTTTCACAACTAGTAAACAGTGCTCAGAAAATTGCGCTTATATAGTTTTTACACAGGCAGTTCAAGTTAAAAAAATAATAAATAAATGTATGTATATAATGGTAAGGGATGTGCATTGGATGCATAGTGACTAATAAGTTAGGTAACAATGTACTGAGTTGAACTGAAATCATAGAAACGAGAGACAAACAAAATTACAGAATATAAAAGAGGGTGAGGTTAAAGACAAAGATTGCGCAATCAGACGGGAGAAAAAAGACATCCAGTTACCAAGGCAAGGAAAGACTAATAACTGATTCTTTCTGAACACATAGATCTGGTTTCAAGCGTTTGATAGAAATTGCTTCGGCAAACTTGAGGAGAATGGAGCTCCTTTGTCTATTGATAATTTTGAAGGATTTCTCGACTTCCACCTCATGACCCGTGTCGAGGAGATGTCTGGTAATAGCGCTGCCATAAGAGTTTGTTCCCTTGAGACGTAGGCTTTTCGGCACATGTTCAGAAAATCGGATGT